AATGCTTGTCCTTTGTTGGAAATTTTTCACACATTGTATTGGGTTGTCAGAAAAGTCATGACAGTGTTTTGCATAGAAAAACATAGAAAGATACATCATGACTTTTCCAGCAACCTAGTAGAAATAGGTAAGAATGTAGCATTTTCCTTATAAGGCAGTAAGTAGAAGAAATACAGTTTGAAAACGTGTCCTGTCTTCCCTCAAGGTAACCTCTGTTAATAACTCTGTATAAAGTCCAGTTGTTTCTCTCTGCCATGCACTTAATTAGGCAATAACCTTTACGAATCTATGCACTACATTCTTACTGCTATCTTACATCAAGCAATAGTGAGAATGATTTAACCAACATATGAACCTTATCATATGTAGAAAATAGTCCTGCCCATAGTTTAATCACAGAGACACAGAAGCTCCAAAGACGTGTTTTAAAAATCTGTAGGAGAAAAGCCGATCACTGAAACTAGCTAGAACGAGGGCTACCCAAATGTTGGGAGCTGTAATACTTGGAGGTTTCGAGCTGTCCACTTTTGAAATAGGCTCTACAGGGGCCAAAAAGTTTGAAGTAAGAATGTGGTCGGACACGTGGCTGGTACAGACTTTCGGGCTGACTAAAACAAACACCAAAATAGCAACAGCGTCGTCTCAGTTAAAGTTGCTTTCCCAGCAGTCTGCTTTGCTTGCTAGACTTGCTACTATGTTTTCCTAAAAGGGACTCACTCTTCCCTTGAACTGACAGTCCCGCCAGTATTGCATGAAGCACCAAAGCTCGGCCGCTTTCTAATTTCTGGTTTCCACACTTCGAAATGCTCTGTCTTGCTGTTTTAGAATGAAAGTCCCCGTCTTGCAAAGAGATCACGCTCTGAATGTTTGTGAGTTTCCTGTATGACATGTGCATCACGCCTTCCCATAGAAACAGGGCTGGTGGGATTTGGAAGTTTCTAGAGCAGGCCAGATGACTGGATAGCATCTGTGAAACCTGTGTTCACTGTAGATATATGAGACCTTGGATAATATTGTCTTTAAAAAATGTTTCGTTTTGCATTCTAACTCGGGCTGCCTGGAATGCAGTCGTAATCGCAGGGTCAGGGACACTCTGTCCTTGTGCTTTGCTCACATGCTTCCGAGGCTCTGGCTACCCTATCTCCCAGGAACTGGCACAGAGAGCTGCAAGGTGGGGGCCTGGGCTAGCGAGGAAAGCAATTGCAATCCCCACCGCAAACACACCTTGTCCAAGAAGCTCTCCCTCCTCTTGCTGTTGTGTATCTGGCAAAGATCCCCAAGATGCAAATTGCTCACCTGAAGCTAAAGAGTTTGCTTTGATTACCTTTACACCCTCTGTATATTGGGGAAATGAGTTTGGAAGTAGAAAGATGGAAAACCGTCCTCTACTTTGGGGATTTGGGAAGAAGCTGAGATGTGTGAGCACATCCAGCACACAGAGCAGACGAGGGCCTCAGGGCTTGCAGCTACCGCTGAGATGGAGGCAGGCTCTCGATAAAGGACCTGCCACGTCTAGTCTTAAAGGTTGTCAGCTGCCTTCTGTTTCTCATAGTAAATAGTAACATGGTTCTTAAAATCAAAACTTTCTGTGCTTTTTGGGGGGGAGGGCACAGCAAAAAAGGAAAGAGTAGAGAAGCCTGCATAGACTCTCTCTAAGCAGTCCTGGGAACACACCTCTCAGGTGTTAAAGTGGATGGGATGAATTTCAGGAGGTGCAAGCTGTAAGAATGAGGCGTGGAAAAGCTTGCTCTAGGTAGAATCAGCAGAGCTCCCATCACTTGGAAACTTATTAGACATGCATGTTCTCAGGCTCTGCCTGATCCCAAATTCTCGCCCAGGTAATTCCATCTACGAAGCTGAAGCGAGTAGACCACTGACACAGTAGCCAAGGAAGTACCTGCTTTTAAATCCTAGCTCTGCCACCTAACAGCTGCGTGGGCTTGAGCAAATTACTCTTTCTGAGTTCATGGAGAGGATTAAATGAGACAATGTGTTTGAAGCACTTCGTGCAATGCCAGTCATTCAGAAAGCACTCAATAAATGGTCTCTATTATGTCTAAGGGGAAGGAAAAGGATAAGTCTTTAAGACCTTCCACAAGTTAGTGCAGCATTTGCCAGCTTAAGGGGCCCTTTCAGACAGACTCTGGCACTGTGCTTCCAAGAAATCCAAGGGTCAGATATGTTGCACAGAGAGGAGGTCACATCTACACAGAAATTTGAACAGAGGAGTAGTTCTCTCTCCTGGCTGGTCATGAGAACACCCATGGAGTTTTTCAAATTCTGCTCTGCCCCAGACCAGTAGTTCTTTCTCCTGACTGGTCATGAGAACACCCGTGGAGTTTTTCAAATTCTGCTCTGCCCCAGACATACAGGGCCATAATCTCTGGTAGTAGACCTTAGGAATCTATAATTTTGGAAATCTTTGTAGGCGATGCTGCAAAACAGCTGGTGGAATAATAGGTGATACTAACTAGTGCTAACATTTATTATTTATTTGTGCCAGGCCCTATGCTAACGTCTTTGTACACCTTGTCTCATTAATTCTCACGGTAACCCTATGAGGTAAGCACTATCTACTTCCTTCTTTATTTTAGAAGTTTTTGCCTTAGGGCAAAGCCTTAGAGGGGGAGAAGACAGTGACAGGAAAAGTGAAAAATCACCCCTGGGGGGATGGCCACACCTCAGTCCCTTCTCTTCCATTCTCCTTCTGGCATCTTGGGCATCCAAGCACACATGAGTTTCAAGCCACTGGGTCCAGAACTCCACATAGTTGGCCATGTGGAAGTCCAGTCATGCAACCACTACACCATCTGCTGTTCCCCACCTGCTTTCTTTTACATATGAGAAAATTTGGGTATAGAAAGGCTAAATAACTCCCAGTTCACACAGCTGAGAAGTGTTTTAGGCAGTGAACTCAGGTTTAGACTGTTAACTGCATTTAACTGATGCATTCACATACTGTAAAGTTCGACTATCCTGTCTTACAAAAATAAAGTCTAACCTTTGCCTCTTTCGCTTCTGTACTAAAGCAGATGCTGCTGAAGTTGTGGAACCTAGGGTAATTCGTTAACACCTTGCAGAAAGCCCGGAGCTATTTGCAAACTAGTCTGGCAAGCTAGTTTAGCACCTTACAGGAAGCCTGGACCCTTGTATTGTAAAACTTCCCCCTTCTGCTAACCCCAGAAACCCAGATCAAATGCTCCTGCAAACCTGACCAAATGGCTACAACTGTAGTTTTTTTGTCTTGCCTGAGCAAGCAACTTCAGGGTCGCCATAAAATTACCCTCGATACCTCTTATCTTGCTTCCTCACTCTCTCCTCCCCTCACCCCACGGACTCGTGTCTATATAACCTGAATACTCCTTTGTTCGGGGCTTCACTCTTAGCCATGTCTTGTATGACTGAGAGTGGAGTCCTAGCGCGCTAGCAATAAAGCCTCTTGTATTTCACATCAAAAACCGACTTTTGTGGTTGATTGGGGTCGCCATTGCCGTAACACTCCCTGGACAAGGAGGTTCAGCGAGTTGCCGGCAAAAATCTTTCAGTACTCATTCACCTGACATGCACTTATTGTTCTTGACCAAATAATATGACAGAACTGAGGAATATAAAAATGAATATAGATCTCCATGCCAATTCTCAAGAAGTTCATGTCCTAATACTGTAGGACATGAGTTTTTTCTTAATACAGCTGTTGAGGAAAAAAAGAAAAAAGCAGACAGACTCATTTAAAAGTTGATGTCATGTGTCTCTACCTGAGAGGCCAGAGAGATTTTTTTTAAGTCTATTTCTTTGCCCAGCAAGTGGCATGATGGTTGGGGAGCCAGACTCCTACATGAATGGTGATCTGAATCCTGGACCTGGTGGCTTGCTTTCTCACTTTCCATCTCTCTCTCTCTCTGGTGAATGCCTGTGTCTTATGGCAAAATTTTAAATAATAAAACAAAAGTTTTTTGTCTTTATTTCTCCCAGGGCCAGCAGGTGGCGTGGTGGTTAAGGTGCTGGATTCTCATATAGCCAATTACAATTCAAATCCCAAACCTGGCAGCTTGAAAATCACTGGGTGCATGTGAATGCATGCCCAAAATTGCAAGAGGATAAAGGAGTGTGCTATGGTCACTGGAGGGAGAGATGGGTGGGTGATTTCTCACTTTCCCTCTGTCTCTCTGCAGGGAGCTCATGTACCCTATGGTGTGTGCAGGTGCGAAAACAGGCGCACACTCACCCACACCATTTCTTCCCTGACAGTTTCCCCCAACAGGGTCATCGCCTCAGATCATGCCTCAGATCATGGGCACTGGGGCCCCATGCTCGGGGAGACCTTGAGCTAAAGCCTTTCCATGTGGGCCCAGCTGCACTGTTGCTGCACTTCCTTCTAGCCGGTGAGATCTAAAAGGCTTCTCCTCTCAACAGCCATTTAGACTCCACCACTATGCACCCATCAGCGTCTGAGACTTTGAAGACCAGGCCTGTCAACTGCGAAGCTCAGTATGGCAGGCACCTGAAGGGGACCTCTGCTTGTCCCCTGGGTCGCACATCCACGCGGGACTCCTGTCAGCCATCTACTCGCTCTGTCACCACTGATCACCACCATGGAGCAAAGACAAAGTCTCTGTTAACAATGGTTACGGAATCCCCCAGAAACATGCAGAGGAAAGGTCGAGGCCTGCTTTTAGAATCAGACGATGTCAGCACCGGCCAAACCTTTGGATGTGCTCTAGACCTGACCAAGGAACCGTTCCAGCCTTGAACCCGGTGCACCGAGCTCCTGGCGCAGTCTGCGACCCTTCACTGCCTCCTAGAGTCAGCTCCGGCACGCCTTCAGATAGTCCCGCGACCGTCACCTTGCAGAATGAAAGTGATCCCGCGGCAGGCAGACGCCTTGTTGGACTCCGCCCCGGGATCGGGCTGCTTAAGCTGCGAGCTACCTCCCCTTCCTCCGGACTCGTCTTCAGGTGGCACAGAGTGAGGCAGCAGCGGAACCTTTCTTCGCTGTCTCGCTTTCTCTTCCAGCCGAGACCGCTGCATGACGGACGAAGAAGTGGGGACTCAGACATGGAAGCGGCAGGCCCTGGAAACGGGGAGGCAGCCTCTGGTCTCGAGGCTGCGAGATCCAGCGACGATCGGCTTTTTCTGGTTAAAGGTGTGTTGTAGTGACAAGGTGTGCTGAGGTGTCAGAGCGAGCTCACCGCGCTCCTGGCCTCCGCTGCAGCGGGCTCCCCCACACACTTCGCGCCTTGAGCCGGTAGCTTTTGCAACCCCTGATTTTAGCCTGTGGGGTCGGGTGGCCTGGGGCGAGTAAATCGTGGAGCAGAGTTGAGTTACCTCCCCCAAAACTGGATCGTGCGAGCTCTTCCCCGGGGAATGCGGTATTTCCTGATTCCCTCTGCGGTTTTTCTCGTGTCCAGCCTTTTCCAGTTGTCACTGCCTCTTTTTTCCTCCCCGGGGGAAACTTCATGCCGCTGCCCCGAGGGACAGAGGAAGGGCACTACAATTGTGCCCATTCTCTGCACTTAGGAACCATACCACAAAATGAACCCAGGAACCAGAGGTCGTGAGGTCTTGCAGGTTTCACCTTTGGTGTTTAGCTATGGTTTCTGGGGTTTCAAAAGTGATTCTGAATGTAACTTAAGTAGTATATGGAAATTACTTGTGTACCTCATTTTAACTTTAAGTTTGCTTTTTTGATTCCCTCCTCCACTCTCCACCCCCTACTCCCCAAACTCTTGGCAGGTGGAATTTTCCTTGGTACTGTTGCTGCTGCGGGAATGCTAGCTGGATTTGTTACAACATTGTCACTGGCCAAAAAGAAAAGTCCTGAATGGTTCAATAAGGTTTGTGACACTGAAATTCATTGGTAGCATTGTTATTGTTGACAATAAATATCAGGGTTTTTTTTTTTTTGCACTGGAAAAGGAAATGTTGATGGCCTTTCACTGCTTTAATAAGTAAACATATATGCACCTTGTGGATTCAAGAACTGTGCAAATTAATTGAAAGTCTTTATTGTCATTTAAAATTTTTTTAAATAATTATATGCTTTCTTTAAGCAAAATAAGACCCTGAAAGCTTATCTGGTACATGTCCTGTTTGCAACATGACTTTAAATCTAAAGCTAAGTAATTATGCGAATCAAACTCTGGACACAAGACTGATTGCAAGAGGCGTCTCTGTTTAGGGGAACCAGCAGTTAGCTTAATGGCTATGTCGCTGGACTCCCACGTGGTCGACCACGGTTTGTGTCCTGGACCCGGTGGCTTAAATCTCACGCCGGGCGCGTGTGCGTGCGTGCCCAGGATCCCGAGAGGAGAATGGAGGAGAAGGGATTGCGGCGTTACCATCCCCCCTGGGGGGTGATTTCTCGCTTTCTGTCTCTATGTCTCTGTCTGTCTGGCGAGCGCACGCGCCCTATAGCCTAAAAACCTCTCCAAAAAAAAAAAAAAGAGGCGTCTCTGTTTCAAAGATGCTAAAATGTTAAGATAGTGTGCATCTTAGTAGTGATGAAAAATAGATGTCCAGTCCTTGAACCCAGGGACCATGCATGCTTGTTCACTGCAGTAACACTAATTCCTTAGGAAAGTGCGTACACATGGTAGGTACTCAGTACATTTGGTTGAATGACTGTAACTTAAAGCAGGAAATCCTTACTCTCCAGGCAAGATTGAGCAGTTGCCCTCTGCTGTTGTGTACCTTATTTTCTCAGCAGATGAGAAGTTTTCTTCACGTTTACTTGTAGTTACTTGTTCTTATGTATTGTTCTGTCTGTGTCCTCCTGCCCTGTTTGTCTTATTCAGTACTTCATTTCTTCAACAAATGTTTCCTTGGGATCCGTTATACATGGCACTGAGCTAGCTAGGTGCAGGAAGTACAAAAATGAACAACACATCTGTCCTCCAGGAAGCTTAGCAGCTGGTGTGGCAGACATATTAAATATTCATGCAGAAAACTGTCTAATTACAATTTGATGTGTGCCATGGAGGAAAACTGTTATATAAAGAATCATAAGCTAGTTGAATTCTCTTTACACTAATATCTATCTTTAATAAACATCCTTAAACCTAATGGATACTGTAATGTCAAGGAACCACATTTAAAGTGCATTTGAGTCCCCTCGGAATTCTTAGAGGGCTTATATGGTGCTACTCAAACCCCTACTGTGGACCTTGCCAGTCATTTCTCCCATGTATTATATTAATGGAATATTTTTTCAGAGGAGAAATACATCTTTTGTTAAAATTCGACTTAACCAACCTGACTTTACCAAGTGGTGGTATAACAGTGGGGTTTGGGGTGATTTCTATGCCTAAGTTATGTTATGTTGTGGGTCATGGAACTTTAAGAGGCTGATGAAAGTTAGGGACTCTCAGGAGAAAACAGAAAGCATGTACACATACTCATAACTTTGCATTCAGTGTGTTCTGAGACTTGATCCTCACACGTGTCCTTGATCCAGCCGTGGTTTTCAAACTGTGGTCCACAGAACCCTTGGCGATCCTTGGGACCCTCTTGTGGGTCTGTAAAGCCAGAACCAATTAGTACTAAGATATTTGCACTGATGGCACAGAAACTGGAGAGGAAAACTGCTGGTGCCTTGGTATAATCAAGACAGTGGCACCAGACTATACGAATAGTCATTGTGTTCCTCATTACTGTGCACCTGTGGTTTAAAAAAAAAATTACATAAGAAATGTTCTTGTTGAAGCATTAAAATAATTTCTTTCTTTCTTTCTTTCTTTCTTTTTTTTGAGAAGTTTTTGCTACAGGGCATGTGTGCTTGCCAGAAAAACAGAGAGACAGAAAGTGAAAAATCACCCCCCCCACCCCCAGGGGTAATGGCCACGCTGCAATCCCCTCTTCCATTCTCCTCTTGGGATCTTGGGCACACATACACACACACACACACACACATGTGCCCGGAGTTAGTTTAAGCCACTGGGTCCGGGACTCGAACAGCAGTTGACTACATGGAAGTCCAGAGACATAGCCATTACGCCGACTGCTGGTCCCCTTAAAATCATTATTAAATCAAGTGAAAATTAGAAAATTTTTACCTACAGCTTGCCAACTGCTCAATACTTAACTGCTTTCTTTTTTTATTTAACCTTATTTATTTAATTTGACCAGAGAGGGACAGAGAGAGAGAGAGAGAAAGTGAGAAAGCAAGCCACCAAGTCCAGGAATTGAACCATGGTTGGCCATGTGGGAGTCCAGCACTCTTAATTACGTCCCACTTTATAGCAAAAACCTCTAAAAAAAAACCAAAAAACAAACAAAAAAGGCATCAGCAGTTAGTGTAATGGCTATGTTGGTGGACTCCCACATAGTCAACCGCGGTTCGCGTCCCGGACCTGGTGGCTTAAACTCACACCGGGCGCGTGTGCGTGCGTGCCCAAGATCTCGAGAGGAGAAGGGATTGCAGCGTGGCCATCCCTCCTGGGGGGTGATTTCTCACTTTCTATCTCTCTGTCTCTCTCTCTCTGTCTGGCGAGTGCACATGCCTTATAGCAAAAACCTCTAAGAAAAAACCCCAAAAAAAAAAAAAAAAACTACTGTCCCACCTGCCAGCCCCAATACTTAACTGCTTTCTGACAAGATTTTATAGTGATATTAAAGACATTTTTAAATATTGCTTAATACTATAACTTGGTAAACCAGTGGGATCTTCTGGATGATCGTCGTGCATAGAAATAAAGGTCCATTCAAAGTACAGAATGACTAATGGCCTTTAATATAACAAATTATATTTTTTGGAGAGGTTTTTTTTTTTTGCTATAGGGCGCTATATTTTTTTAATATAGAGGCAGATGTGAAAATCCAGCTTCCGTCAGCCCTGGGTGTGGTAGTTATGGCAGGCAGGTTCCTACATGACCAAATGTGTGGTTTGAGTCCTGGACCCATGCAGCTTGAAAAAGGCGCCAGGTGCATATGCATGTGTGCACGCCCCAAACCCCAAAAAGAACGGGGAGACAGAGGGGAAGTGATTGCAGTGTGACCATGCTTTCTTGCTTTCCATCTCTGTCTCTGGCGAGAACATGCACCCTCTGGCAAATTTTTTAAAAAAGAAAAGAAAATCCAGCTCCTTTTATTAAACTGGACATTTAAAAGATAAACAAATGTTAAACACGGTCTCTGCATTAGTTGTTTTAAGTTATTTTTCATGAAAATAGGTTTATATTCATCTATATTTACTACTTTGAAGTGAATTGATAAGTAAAATTTTAAAATTTCTTAGTTTTAATTTCTAACATTAAATATTGGTGTCACCCACATAACTGAAAATCTTTGGGGTCCAAGTATTAAAAGGATCCTGAAGCCAGAAAGTGTAAGAATCACTGTTCTGGGTGGCTATATATATTATGTGAGGTTCCGCCTTGCCTGGAGATCATTAGATTTAGAGCATTACTACTCATCCAGGTTCTTTTTGAGATAAATGAACTGTAGAACTTAAAGGTTCTAGAACATAGTTAATGAGTTAATGCTGAGGAAGCCCCTGTTTAGGATTATCACTCAGGCAGTGCACTTCAAAGTCACCACCTACAGGTCTTCTCTAACAGTAAAATCTAACATTCGGACCAGTCTGCGGTATGGGGGTTACAGCAATCTGATCCCACATGGCTGACCAAGCTGTTGAAACCCAGACTCAGTGACATAAGATCAGGCAGGGCATGTGTGTTGCATGCTCAAAATCCTGAAAGGAGGAAGCGATGGAAGAGACGGGGATTGTGGCATGACCATGCCCCGTGAAGGGTGCTTTCTCATATAACCCCCTCCCCCCATCTCCAGCAAATGCATGTACCTTGTAGCAAAAATTTTAAAAAAAGAGACCTAACATTGGAGTGTTTCCTATATGCTAGGTACTCTTCTAAGGGCTTTACTTACTTAACGTCATAGCCCTGTGAGGCATCGTTACTGCATGCTGTCCCCATTAAAGCAGGAAGCGAAGTCAGATGGATAAACAACTTGCCCAGTATGGTATTCTCTCCATCACTGATTATGTCTAGGGAATAAATTACACTGTTTTAGCAGTAGAGAGAGACTGAATATTCCTTATCCAGAATACTTGGAACCAGAAGTGTTTGGGTTTTTTTTTTTTTTTTCTTTTTTAGATTTCAAAATATTTACATATACATGGTGAGATATCTTTATGAGAAGGGACCCTTCGAAGTCTAAATACAAAATGCATTTATGTTTCACATATACCTTACACATGTAGTCTGGAGGTAATTTTACACAGTATTTTCATATTGCCCCATTTTGACTGTAGCCTGTCACAAGAATTTTTCAGTTGTGGTATCATGGCAACCCTTGAACATTTTTTGGATTTTGGAGAATTTGGGGCTTTGAATTAGGGATGTTAGGCCTTTATTATTATTTAAATAGACTTCTGTCTACTAGTCTGGGGATCTAGGTACTGTACTAATTATAATACAGATTAAACTTGCAGCCCAGAAAGACTAAAAGGATCAACTTTTCAGTTGGAGGCTGCTTTTATCTTCAGGAAGATAATCATCCTCTTAATGTCTTATTTTCATTGTCTTAGCTGACTCTCATGCTAGAAAACAGTAGAAAATGAGACTAGCAGTTGGCGTAATGGCTATGTCACTGGACTCCCATTTAATTGACGTGGTTCGAGTCCTGGACCTGGTAGCTTAACCTCACACTGGGCGTGCGTGCCCAAGATCCTGAGAGGAGAATGGAGGAGAAGGGATTGCGCCGTGGCCTCTCCCCCGGGGGTGTAATTTCTCGCTTTCTATCTCTCTGTCTCTCTCTCTTTCTGGCGAGCACACACACCCTATAGCAAAAAACCTCTCCAGAAAAAAAAGAAAAGAAAACAATAGAAAGTGCTGATTGAACATTCTTTTCTTTTCTAGAGGAAGGTGCAAAGTCAGGTGGCCTGAAAACCCATTCTTGAGCTGCTCTGACATATTTAAGTAGATGGGAATTTGTTCTTTAAGCTGGTACATTTTGCATTAGTATAACATTGACCTCATAAAATGATAGTGAAATTAAATGAAGTGCTCTGAGTACAGTTATGTGCTTTTAATATGTCCGCTTGGTTTAAACAATTGAAGAAAATACCAAGTCGACGTATACATACATATAAAGCTTATTTATCTAAAATAATTTAGCTTAGCTTAATATTATGGTATGGCAAAAATTCCTTAAATAACTGAGTTGCCTTAAGAGCCATTTATGTAATGAGTAGATTAAAAATACAAGTCATTCATCTTTCTGATAAAACCATAATATAAAAATTATGAAAATAAATTCTCAAAATAAAATTATAAAAATAAATTTTATTTGAAGCTATATTGCAAATGGCCCAGCCGCATGCAGTGGCGGTAGGAAGCCTGTGCAGTCAGGCCTGAACGGACCTGAACACTCCAGGAGTGCCTGTGTCATGCCTGCAGTTCAGGCTGGCTGAAAAGCTCGAGGAGGACTAGATATGATGGGATACTGTTACGTCCCTGTCTGTCTGTCTGTCTCTCAAAATGAACTTTATATATACATACATATATACACCTATACACACACACATATGGTGTAGCTTATAAAGCACAGCTATTTTTGTGATATAAATATATCAAATCATTATATTAGATAAGATTGTTCAATATAGGGACCAGCAGGTGGTGTAACGGTTACATCATCGAACTCCAATGTAGTTGACTGCAGTTCAAGTCCTGGACCTGGCAGCTTAAATTCAAGTCAGGCATGTGTGCATACATGCCCGAGATTCCAAGAGAAGAATGGAGGAGAAGGGATTGCAGTGTGTCCATCCCCCCTGGGGGGTGATTTCTCACTTTCTGACCCTCTGTTCCTCTCTGTCTTTCTGGTGAGCACATACACCCTATAGCAAAAACCTCTCTTTGAAAAAAAAGAAAAAGATTGTTCAATGTGAGAAATAACTAGATTGAACTTTGTTTTTAACTTGCAAAAGGGCACATATACCTGCTGGAGAGGAGGAGAGAGAGAGAAAGTGAGTAAGCATCCCTGATGGGGCATGGTTGCACTACAATCCCTTCTCCATTTCCCTCTCCTGCCAGGATTTTGGGCACGCACACACACATGCCTGGTGTGTTTCTCAAGCCAGCGGGTCCAGGACTCGAACCACATAATTGGCCATGTGAGATCCAACCACTTTAACTACCATGCCACAGACTGGCCCAAACATTTTTTTTTTTAATATGTTTCCTATGAAATTCATCTCAAGATCTATTTAAAATATAAACCTTATTTGTAGGTGTGTGGTTGACCCGACAAACTGAACAGTTTTCTCTTGATAGTTCTTGCATAAGCGAATAAGATTAATTCTTGTCATCTGCTTTCTCAAAGGTTACTGGTAAGTGTTAGCACATAAGGGGCACCATGTCTTCAGCTACAAGGTTTATAAATACAGAGTTTTCATTTAGACAATAATTTTTTGATTTATCTTGGAGATATTAAAGACCATAACTGCAATGCAGTTTGTTATATTCAACTTCCATATATGGGAGCCTTATTTTAAATAAAAAAAATGTGGTAGAGGGGAAATGTGTAACTTTTATTTCACATATATTTATTATATATGTGTGTGTGTGTGTGTGTGTGTGTGTGTGTGTGTGTGTATATATATATATATATATATAGTTAGGCTAACCTGTATGGCTATATCTAAAGTGTTTTTTTGTTTTGTTTTCAGGTTTTGTTTTTTTTTTTTTGAGAGGTCCCTTGCTATAGGGCACGTGCACTCACCAGACAGACAGAGAGAGACATAGAGACAGAAAGCGAGAAATCACCCCCCAGGGGGGATGGTCACACCGCAATCCCTTCTCCTCCATTCTCCTCTCGGGATCTTGGGCACGCACACACACATGCCCGGCATGAGTTTTAAGCCACCGGGTCTGGGACGCGAACCATGGTCGACTACGTGGGAGTCCAGTGACATAGCCATTACGCTAACTGCTGGTTCCTGGGAAGTTAATCTTTTTCAGCAGCAAGTCACAAGCATTCATTTTGGAAATGTTGAACAGGATAGATTATGCATGTCCTTCCCAGCAGAAAAAACTGTGACAGAATGTGAGACTAGACATTTTAAATTTTAATAAGAACAGATCAATTTTTATCTTTCAGTATCCATTAAAATTAATTTTTTGAAATATGTAGATAACTAATAATCATTTAATTTCACAATTAATTTATCAGACTGATAGTATACAAAGCTGACATGTACCTTTTTTTCTTTAAATCTAAAATCAAGGCAAGATTAAGATTTTATTGCAAATATTACTATACCATTATTATTTTCATGTAGTAATTTTTTTACTTGATTTAGTGAAGCTTATATGGACTCTCTCTCTCTCTCTCTCTCTCTCTATATATATATATATATATATATATATATATACATACATATGTATACATACACACACAATCTCCAGGGAAATAATGGATATTTTTTTTAAAAAAAGTTTTGCCATAGGGCATATGCACTTGCCAGAGAGAGACAGAGACAGAGAGAGGGAAAGTGAGAAATCATCCCCTTGACCAGGGGAAATGGCCACACTGCAATTCCTTCTCCTCCATGCTGGCCCAGGAAATAATGAATTTTTAATATATGTTTCTAAAATAAAATTTAGGAAAAGCATTTAAACTGACCCCAGCTTAATAATATTTAGTAAATCTGCTTTTGAATGAGAACTAAGACCAGTTAAAAGTGCATATATATATGGAATCTGTGGTTTCTAGTGAACTTCTCTGATATTATAGCAACATGAGAAAAGGAATAAACTAAGAGAGCATATTGGGATTGTTTTTTGAAACAAGGTCTTGCTACATTGCCCACACAGGCCTTGATCTTCTAATCTTCCTGCCTTCACCTCCCGAGTTTCTGAGATTACAGATGCATGCTATTAGATGCAGCTAGATAACAGTATACTACCTTTATCATAGAAAGTGGCTACAGAAAAATGCCTTGACATCTGGTTGGGTCTAAGATGTCTTAGTCTGTTATTGTGTTGCTTTAAAAAACAGACCCAAGACTGGGTGACTTATAGACATTGGAGGTTTATTTGACTCATGACTCTGGCAGAGGCTAAGATCAGCACAGCATGGCAGACTGAAGCAGAGAGGATGGTGGGTGGCTGCAGAGCAAGAAGGACCTGGGAGCAACCATCTTCCTTTGATAACAACCTGCCCTTGAGAACTAACTTTTTCCTGAGGACTGACGCCTTCTCCTAAGAGCTAGAACTCATTCATCTAGTGTGAGGCAGCATTAATCCGTAGTGGAAGCTGATGCCTCCATGATCTAGTCACTGCCCGCAAGGCCCCCCCTCTTAGAATTCTCACCACCTCCCAACGCCAGCACACGGAACCAAATCCTAGAGCATGGTCCTGGGGGACAAACGGTTATCCAAACCATAGCATAGTTTATCTACCAAAAGTGGAAGTCAGCAAATACTGAGTACCTACAAAGTCTGGTCGTGGGGCCAGTCACGGGGCTATAGACAAGCAAACCCTGCTATGTGTTACGAATAGCATTCACAGTTACACACCATATGTGCGTAAGAAAAACCCAAGAAATAGGTTGAGCAGTACAAAGGATATTCTACAAAAGAAAAGGACTTTAGTAAATGGGAATTTATTTCCAGATGGAAGACAAGATGTTATAAATGTGCTTTCTCTTATCAGATTAGCTAATTAGCTTAATGCCATTCTATTGAAAGTGCCAGTGGATGGGGAATAGGGAATTCTTGAGAGGATGCTCTAGAGTTTTTTTGGAAGAATGAACAGGCACAGTGCCTTGCATACTTCAGTGTTTGTCAGTCAGAAAAGTTGTGGCAACAGTTAGCCAATTATTAATGCTTGTTTTGGACCTTAGGTGGATCTTGGATTGGTCTGGTTTCCCAATATATTGCTTTCATAGAAAGCAATTAATTCCTAATACTCCCAGAATGTCTGTTGTTTCTGAAGAGATTATTTTAACCAGAACTTTCTGTCTCCATTCCAGGGAAGTATGGCCACGGCTGCCTTACCAGAGAGTGGGTCTTCCCTGGCCTTGCGAGCCTTGGGCTGGGGCTCCCTGTATGCGTGGTGCGGGGTTGGCGTGATCAGCTTTGCAGTCTGGAAAGCTTTAGGCGTTCACAGTGTAAGTAACCACAGTCTTGTGATTGGGATCTGGGCCTTTAGACTTTAGAGTAAGTCTAAATCTTCCTGATTTTCAAACTTCATAGTACAGTAACAGTCTAAATCTTCCTGATTTTCAAACTTCATATGGTTTGGTCACTGTGCTCGGGAAGTGACGATAGACTGTTACTAGATTCTTAGCGGTTTACTAGTAATGAGGCAGCTGCTTCTTATGCGTAAATCATAACTAAGTAATTTATATATTGTTGAGGTTGTAAAACTTCAGCTATAATTAAGAAATGACTTCATTTGGGACCAGCAGTTAGCATAATAGCTATGTTGCTGGACTCCCATGTAGTCACCTGCGGTTCGAGTCCCTGACCCAGTGGCTTAAACTCACACCAGGTGCATGTGTATGCGTGCCCAAGATCCTGAGAGGAGAATGGAAGAGAAGGGATTGCAGCATGGCCATCCCCCCTGGGGGGTGATTTCTCACATTCTGTCTGTCTCTGTCTTTCTGGCGAGTGCACGTGCCCTATAGCAAAATCTTTCAAAAAAAAAAAAGAAAAGAAAGAAATGACTAATTCATAGTTAATATTTGTTCATTGTGAATTGATATTAGCAACTTGTTCTATAAAATTATTCATTTGGAACAACTTCCTATGTTATTTGACATATATATTATATATATGACATAGATTTCATTTAAAATTTATTATTTAAATTATTAATGTGTTCTTTATACTATACATGCATGTGTGTATATATGCATATATATGCATCTATGTTGTGTGTATGTATGAGGATTCTTCAGAAAGTTCTTGGGAAATGCACATTATAAAAAAACTACACATAGATTTTGAATTTTTTTGTACCAAAATTGTACTTTAATTCCATTATTCCACAAACTTTTGAAACCCCCTTGTAGAGAAAGTGTGAGGACTGAAAAGCTGTATGATAAGAATGATTGGTGGGCCAGCCAGTGGTAGTAGCTAAGATGTCTGGATACATGGCCAGCAGAGAGGTTTGCGTCCCGAACCTAGCAGCTTGAAAAACACACCAGGCACATGTGCATACATGCATGCCCTAAATCCTGAGAGGAGAAATGAAGGAGAAGAGGTTGTGGCATGACCATCCCCCATGGAGGGTGCTTTCTCATTTTTCCTCTCTCTCTTTCTCTGTGTCTCTCTCCTGTGAGCATATGTGCCCTTTAGCAAAATTTTTAACAAAAAGAATGATTGACTTTTTTTTCCCTTCCAATTTTGCCAGAGGGTGTGTGCACTTGGGAGAGACAAAGAAAAGTGTGGAATGGAGAAAGCACATCCCAAGGGAATGGTCATGTTTCAATCCCTTCTCTGCCATTTTTCAATCCCTTCTCCATTTCTCCTTCCATTCTGGGTTTTGAGCACATACGCACACCTGCCCAGTGTGTTTCTCAGGCTGCCAAGTCTGGGATTTGACCTGCACAGTCAGCCATGTGGGATCCATCTACCTGAACCACCATGCCACAGCCTGGCCTGGCTTTTGTTTGTTTATTTTTCTAACAACTGGTAGGAAGTACTGTAGAATGTGTCTTTGTGACAGGTCAGAACTGATGGCAGTTCAGAATAGGAAAACAAAAGAAAAAGCTGTGGAGCTGATGAAAAAATGTCCTGGATATTTCAGAAGGGTTGTTGTGGATTGGATGTGGGAATGAGAGAGAAAGTAAAGTCAGCCATGTATCCAAGACTGGTAACTGAACACTGGAAGACAGAGCGGCTGATGTGTCAGGGGTGACATCAGGAGCTCCACCGGGGCCTTGGAAGTGGAGATGGAGACTCCAGCAAGCAGTTAAGTGTACGAGTTAAGAATTCAGGAGAGAGGAGCAAGGTGAAGATAGAGAGCCGAGACTCACCGGTATAGGGATAATATTAAAAGCCATGAGACCAGATCAGCTCACTAAGGCAATGAGGATGGAGAGGAAGGAGAAATGGTCTGAGGAAGGTGCTCGGGACCACTCCTAAGACTGGGAGGTTGGAGAACTGGAGATGATAACCAAGGATAATCAGGAGAAACCAGCAAGGTCACTCACAGCAGACAAAGAACACTTTCAAGAGGGGTGACTGTGGATGCTGTGAGAACTGACAAAGGGTAAAGACTATAATGCCCTGAGCTTAGCAATATGGTGGTCAGGGTGGCCTAAGCCAGAGTGAAGTAGATTCCAAAGAGAACAGAGAAGAATTGGAAGCAATAGATTTAGGCAAGTCTTGAGTTTTTCTGTAAAGTGAAAGAAAAAAATGGGGTTATAGCTAGGAGAAAGAGTGAGATGGAAGGAGTTTGCTTGTTTAAGTTGGAAACTAACTGCATGTGTATGCCCGTGGGAGTAATTCCATAGCGCCTCCATGCTCTCACGTTTATTTTCAAAGCAACTTCGCTGGCTAGTCATCATTTGAACAGGGAATTAGGGATTACTCGGAAAAGATGAAAACCCAAAACGGAAGATTTTTGGTCATTTTTGCTCTTATCTCAGTTTCGCCTATGACTAGTAAAAAGCTCTTCTTCCATTTCAGGCATCGTACGAGACATTTAGACTTAGCACATTATTTAATCTTCACAATTACTATAAAGCAGATTACTGTCCCTCATTTTCTAAGTGTGGAAATTGGGCCTCAGAGAAGTTAAGTCGTTTGTTCAAGATGAGCTTGTAGCTGTCTGAGTGAAATCGTGAATCCAGATCTGAGTCCCAACTTTGCCTCCCGTAGATAAGATGGGAGATAAAGGAGTAGGGGGAAGGTTCAGGGTGAGAAAAGGAAGGGTAGTGACTTCAGTTCTGACCGTGCCCTTGTCCACACAGTTCTTGATCACTTGGCAAGTTCTCCTGGGGATCTTCAGTGTGGGCTTCATGTCCCGACATGATTGGGGACGTCAGTCTGGGGCAGGACTGGCTGTTCCCTTCTTGTTCAGAGGAGATGACCTGTTAAGCTGTCACTTTTAGGAGAAAAATGCTTTGGATATGGTGGTAAATGAAACACAGGATTCATGTCTTAATATAATGGAGAGTATTTGAAAACTGGGAGGAAAAATGGTTGAAATACATGAATGAATTATAGGTATATTGGTGAATTTTTCATTTTACCTTCCGATATGTTTCTTAAATATTTATTACTTTAACAGTAGTGGTGCTTTGTAAAATACCTTTACTAGATTTTATTTTTATTGTTTTTTAAAAATAATTACTTATTTAATTTTACTTATTTATTGTTATTCTTTTTTTTTTTTTTTTTAATTGTTATTCTTCAATTTGACCACAGAGAGATAGAGAGGAACAGATTGAGAAAGCAGGTCGCCAGGTCCAGGTCGGCCATGTGGGAGTCCAACACCCTTAGCCACCGCACCACCTGCCAGTCCCAATTTCTAGTAATTTTTACTGAAAATAAAGTACGGCTATGTGGGAGTTCACAGAACTTTCATGAAAACACATCAGATCTCCTTGGGGGATATTCAGATACATAGTAATAAAGTTATTAAGTCTCTAGTTTCTGTAAAAATGAGTCAATTAGCATTTTGCACTGACCATGTGGAGCTGACAGGTGATGTTTAGTAATGCAGATCATAAACCGAGTAAGATATTTGAAAATATGAATCATCTTTGATTTAGAAGTCATAATAATGAATCAATCCTAATTTTCATAGACCAACCAAATTAGGTTATTTAAATTGTATGCTTGAGAGTGTGAGCTTTATAGGCTAAACTGTGCTATTTTAGTTTCTAGAACATGTCTTCTTTGTTTTATGGCACTAATAAGAGGATTGTTGCCTATATAAAATATTTTGGAGAGGAAAAATGTTTTCTGATTGGCACTACTAACTATAAGAATACATAGAATCCTTTTATATTGCATCTTTATGTCTAACTAAAAAAAAAATAATGTAAATGCACTCTCTCCCTGTATGTGGGTCAGTAGGGTTATCCATTTGATCTCCACACCCAAAGTCACAGAACAGTGAACCCACTAAAACCTTCTTTTGAGTTTATTTCTCCCTTGAGTGAGAGAGACAGAGAAACAGGTACCCTAAACATGGTCTCCGCCCCATAGTTCACCCCCAGCCCTGAATCATGGGAGCACATGTGCCCGCACGTTCACACATGTTCAAGGAGGTCTCTAAATGCAAACCCAGTGCTTTCCCATGTGGGTCAGCCCTGCAGAGCGTTTCACTGCTGCTGTGCTACTCTCTGCCTTCTTGAGGGCACGTTTTCAAGGCAGTAGATTTTATGACTTCATTGGTTTGTACCTTTCCAAGTCACTTGCGGGCCTGCCCTGAGCCAGCACTGTGCTCCGACAGGGCTCCCTGGCCGTTACGGGGGCCTCACCTGTTGACTTTCCAAGCAAATTCTTACGTTATGGCTCTGAAGCATGCAAAGGGTGATACACTTGGTTCAGCTCTGCATTTAGAGAGGCTCAGTGATAATCATGGGTTGAACTTTTATCATTTTGTACTGCCTGTTGTTGGGGAATGCCATCTTTCCACACCTGAGAAAAACGGTCTTCGTCAGAAACTGTTGAAGAGGCCCAGGCCAAACAGTTGAGATGATCACTCTAGATTTTGGTTCCAGGCAATCAAAATCAACTCCATTGTCAAATGATTGTTGCTGGCTACCCTGGAGTTATATTAAAAATGTCTATAAATCCAGTTCAAAAGAAGGGTGCCATCTAATGGCTGGCCTCCCTCCAGTAGCTTGACGGAGAGAGCCTCCGTGTCCTGTGGTAATCCACAGCTCCATCTGCTGGCCTAAAGGGGAACATGCTAAAATCACCTCAAGTGAAACTTCTGTTTCTTAAAAATACCTTGGTTTCATTCTGAGTACTCACTGTTAGTTTGGAATTTTATTTCACATAGGGCAAATATAATCTGTTGAATATAAGTATGGATATGCATTTCGTATGATGGCATAGCATTTAATGGGGATTCCAACAAGGAGGGCTAGAGGAAACTCTCTTTAGCAGACCTAAGCAGGTAAGTTTGCCCCGCTTTGAAGATGGG